GGTGATTTTAGGTGATTTCTCTCCTGATTCCCCTCGCCGCCTCGAGCACGGCGCCCGCCCCTGCCTCCATGCCGTCAACCACGCCGGCGTCGTCGAGCACGGCGCCCGCCCTTGCCTCCATGCCGCCAGCCACGCCGGCAGAGTCGAGCACCTCTGCGCCTGCTGGTGAGCACCTCTTTCTTTTTCTCTTTCTCCCCGCGCGCGGCCGCCCGCCAAATCAAGAAGATGGGTACCCGGCTGCCCGGCCGCTCGCTGGAAGGGGTCGATTTGGCTGCCATGGCAGCCAAATCGAGCAGGTGCTGGTGTAGGGAAGGGGTAGATTTGGCTGCCAGAATCAGGGGAGGGGTTTAGCGCTGTTGATCAAGATGTTCTAAAGTTTATTTTTTTGGGTAGGTGATCAAGATGAGGCAACAGATAAAGATGAATTCATTTATGTGTCACTGCATTATTTTGGCAAATTTCAGACAGTGCAAGGATTGGTTGAATACAAGGAAGGGATGATGATAACATTTCCTATTGAGAGGAAAGACCTACAGTTGCAGACATTGTTTTCCTATGCAGAGGACATGTATCATATCGAAAGAGGACATTGCAGAGGGAATCATAGGTACAAGATGCATTGGCTTGTTCCAAGAAAAAGTTTGAGTGATGGTTTGCTGTTTATTCATGATGATTCAGCTGTGGAGAATATGGAGCATGCAACACCTTTTGGATCAAGTGCAGAGATCTATGTGGCGGAAGTGGCATTTTATGAAGAAGCATGAATGGATGAAGTTCCAGTGGCAATATCTATAACACATTCCAATCATACAAGTAGCAAATTTGCATTGGTAAATGTGGATGTTGTGGACACAGACATGGTTGATGGCATGTTATTGTCAGATCAACAAGCAGAAAAAGAAGCATAGCAACAAGTTGTTGTAGGTTTGAAAAGGTCAGCTGCCGAGGAAGAAAATATGAGGATAATAAATCTGGCTAATGAGTTTCTTACTACATATGAGAGTCCCGTGAAGATTCAGAAAAGTAGACCAACTAGGCTTACAGCTAAAAGAAGAAAAATACCTGTAGAAGTTGGTGGTCAAGCTCCACCTGCAGCCACAGCAGCACCGGTTGCTTCGACAGTAGATCCAGGTGCCTCCAACAACCACAACAGATCCAGAGCTGCAGGTGCTTGTACAACAAGTCCATCAACTCCAGCAACAACTTCTGTAGAGAGAGAGAGCCAAAATTGCAAACAAAACAAATTCTGCAAAGACAAAAGGAGCAGTAAGACCAAAACCAGCTGCAACTTTTGAATTTGAGTATGTAGGTCCAGCTACAACTTCTCTTGATCATGTTGAAATTGGAACAAGTGCTAATGAAGTATCACATGAAGATGGAAAAGAAGGAGAAGAAGCTGATGATGATAGTGACATTGACTATCAGCCTTTGTCAGAGCATAGTTCTCCCGAAGAATCAGAGGCAGAGCAAGTTAGGAAATTAGCAAGGGAAATTAGGAGGCAGAAGAGAGCAAAGAAATTAGGGGATGCTGATGGGCCTGTCATCAAAGATAATAATGTGATTGAAGGATTGTCTGGTGATGAGAAGCTGGATGGGATATAGAAGATGATGTTGTGTCATCAGATGATGACTGCTCTTTTGATGAGGAAAGTGATGGTGAGGGGGCCACACAACTAGTGAGAAGGAAAAGTGAATGGAAGAAATATGACAGTAAATCAGAAATGCCTACATTTGAGATGGGAATAGTTTTTAGAGGAAGACATCAAATGAAGAAAGCTCTAATAAAATATGGCATTAAGAAGCATATTCATATTACTTTCACAAAGGATGAAAATCATAAAGTTGGTGCAAAGTGTACTTGGCCAGGTTGCAACTGGATGATCTATGCTTCTAAAACTAGTCGAAATAAGTGGCTACAGGTGTTTACCTTTGTAGATGAGCACCATTGCATTCCAAGAAGAGATAACAATCTTGTCATATCATCTGTTATTGCTACAAAATATGGCGGGCTTATAAGAGCAAATCCAAGTTGGAAGTTAGAAGATTTGAGAAAAACTGTACTTGAGGATCTATTTTCAAATGTAACCTAACTATCTTTCGACTCTGTCTTTCAATGTGCTTCCTTTTCTCCTTGCATCAAACTGGAAATGTGGCGGTTGAAAGTACATGTAGTCCCCATGTGTGGTTTTGGTAATTAAATGACAATCCTAATGGACTAATGTTTGCACTGAGATATACATTTGAAGGAAAGTTCCATTTGCAATGCATGAAGAATATTGGATGAATTGGTGGATGAAATCCATCAACATCTATATATGCATTGAGACTTGATAATGAATGACAATTCCTATGAAGAAACAATGGCATCAAGTTATATAGGAAGGTTTGTTCCATGGGTGATGCAAGAAGGATATTGAATGGATTCGGAATGAATGCCATATACATGTAGTTGTGCATCAAGATTAATCATGGAGCAAATATTAAGGTTGACCAAGATGAAGATCGAAGATTGAATTCAAAGATGGTCAACACACAAGCGCAAATCATGTGCCACATGAGATCTTGTGGTATGGTAAGAATTTGTCAATTGCGCTTTGTGTACTAACCCATACTATGTGTTGCCTATGTTTTTGAGAGGAGATTCTCATGGGCTCGCATCGAGAGAGAGATTTCAAGTGTCTATGAGAGGATGACATCAAGTGTTGATGATCATGGTTGACAAGGGCAAGTTCAAGATAACTATCCCGAAGGATTACATGCTTGAAGCTTGTGGATGATCACATGATGGACACATGAAGATAAATACAAAGCAAAGCTTCCCACATTGTGTATGGGGGAGCTACTTGAAGACTTCACCAATGTCTTGCCATTCAACTTGATCCAAGAAGAAACTTCAACTTCAAGCTCAAGTGAAAGGCTCGAGTCAAAGGTATTAGTTCCTTCGACGTTAGTGTTGTGGAGTGATGAACACCGAAGGAACACATACACTCAAGAATGGATTCTTGATAGCTATGTAGTGTATACCTTTTATGATTCTTGAGTTATAGGGATCCCGCACTATTAAGAGGGGATCAAAGGGGTTCGTGATAGATTTGCTCAAGTCGACATCTTCTCTACACAATTCCACTCATATCCTATATACCAAAGAAAATCCAAAGCCAAATAGGTTACCCAAATACATGATAAAAACTTTGCATATTTTGCATCCTCCATTTTGGTTCATCTTGGGTGGTTCTCTATGTGAGGACCTGGGTTTTTTTCATAGCTTCAAAACGAGCCCAAGATCATCAAAATCGGAGTCCGGATGTAAAAGTTGTGCCTGTTTCAGTTTCTAGGCTGCACCAGTTTGGTTTGGCCGGATCATCCGGGTCCTCTCCCATATCATCCGGGCTTTGCCCGGATCATCCGGGTTCCTGCCCGGATCATCCGGGTTATTCGTAAAATTCATCACAGTAGCTTATTCCGCTAGCCGGATCATCCGGCTACCCACCCGGATCATCCGGGAATTGCCCGGATCATCCGGCTATGTCCCCGGACATTCGGGTATCTACTTCACCACATTGTATATTGACCTTCCCGGATCATCCGGGCATTGCCCGGATCATCCGGGTATGCGTCCAGATCATCCGGGCAGGTCAACAACTGCGGGAAACGGCTCTATTTTCTTTGGGGGTATAAATATCCCTCTCCCACTCCGGGGGAGGGTTGAGCACTTCATCCCAAATC